TGATCTTGCATTAAGATGTCACTGTCAAGCTCGATAGTGTTAAGGAGGAAAAGAGTTGCTAAGTTTTCAGCAAGTCAAAGGATTCTCGGATCCCTGGGTGCTTTCAGTAAAAACCTGTTGGAGTAAAGGGTGACTAAAAATGTTTTTAATCTTGGCTTTTTGAAATTTCTCTTTTGAGAGCTACTGTAATAAATCGAAATTATCGATCTAGCCTGTAGCATTCCTAAGATTCCCTCATTTAAGAGTGGAAACTGCTCTATTACTCAGAGCAATAACCCAACACTTGGAAATCTCTCATCAGAGACTCCTGGTCCACACATGTAGACAGGCATTTCACAAAGATTTCTGTTTGTTTATGGATCTTACATCAGCTGAGATCTCAGCAATGCTTTTCTTAGTAATTATCTGCCTTTCTTCCCCCACTGCATCATATGTGGCCAGTGCCAGCCATCTCAGCATCGACAGATTGAACATCATTCCACCTCTTACTGGACCTCTGCAAAGAAACAGACCCTAATATCAAACAGACTCCAATAATTTTGCATTCTAGCATCTGTGGTAGACTTTATGGGTCTATCCATGGGCTTACATGTGGGTTGTGTATAGATGATTCTGTATTTTAAATCCCCTATGTGAAAGAGAGAGTTAAATACAGCTGTTGATACAGCCAGTCCTGAGTATCCACATCAGAAAAAATCTCTTGCCAGGGTTAAGTATTTCTCAGAGCAGTGAAGGTTTGAGTGATCAATAAATAGTTGCCAATGAATGCTTCATATCATTCTCAAAAATATCCTAAAATCACAAATCCTGGTTAATTAGCACTAGCTTTTTTCCATATGGTTGGCAAGAGCTGCTGAGTTCCAAGGCAGTTTCTCCCTATGTTTTGCCTTTTATGCATTTTCTTATTACCTTTCCATTAACAGAATATTTCTGTTCCACCTTCTTTTTCTACAAGTGCTCCTCAGAAGCATTCGCACAGCTCTGCAGCTCAGTTCCTCCTCATTCTCCTGGGGTACTAATTTCCCGCTAGCCTATGCTGGTAGTAGATTACTAACCTCTTCACTAACTCGCTGGCTCAGCCGCTGTAACCAATGAGCAGCACCTAATCATTGCCCATCTGCTCCAGCAAAGGAGTAGCTGTGGGTTCAGTGCTCCTCACTTACGGCCGGGTGCTCAGACCCAGAGCCGGAGTTGCTCTTTAGCAGATCAAAGGGAGTCCTTACTCCCTTGTGCAAGCGCATGGTCCCATCTAGCCCTGAATGATTAGCGTATTTATAAATTAAAATAAATACGAGGACTGAACCGGCCCAGGGGAACTCTCAATCCAATCAAATTAGCCTCATATATCCGCCCCAGAGCAACTCCTCAGAAGCCCTGCCTTCGTGAAGCTTCATTTGTAAGCACTACGTGCTGTGTACTTTAGAAAAGTTTTATAATTACTTGCTGTTCCGGCTGCTGAGCACTTCTAAATGTTAGATATTAAGGAATTGCTGTTTCAGTCAGTGAACAAGCTCTGAACATTAAGTGTGCTTCACGAGAAGTTTTTTTCTCAGCCATTACACATCTCTGAAGGCATTTTTTTTTCAAGTGGATGCTTTCCCAGCTGTTGATCATCTCTGTTTCTTCTGGCTGAAGAGAGGAGGAGGAAACTGGTGATAGTGTGACATTGGATAAAGGCTTTATCGCTATGGAGGGAGATGGGCACATGACTCACAAATGCGGGCGTTGAAATCATTCTACAGGTCATCCTGAGGAAGTGCCAATAAAACCTTTATCTTATCCCATGGGTGTTTCTGGACATTTTTGTGTCGCATATTTTACGGAAAAAATATTCTAGCAGTGTTTTACAGAATTCTTTAGAGGGATTTTGGTACTGTTTTTATATCTTTCCACCACTAGAGCTTGTTACCTTGGGAAGAAGCAGCCTGCCTTTGCCATGGGTCAAGAAGATACTTGGCTGATACAGTGAGTGGTACCAAGTGCTTGGTGAGAACTGGAAACCCAAATTCAGCAGGTGTTTTTGAGGCAGCGTTGTAAATGGTGACAGCAGTGTTTTCTTTCACAGAGTAGCTCATCCATTATCAAAAACATGCCTCAAATACAGAATGATGTTGAAATTTAAGATGCATACACTCAAGACTATAGAATCAGGTGCTGTGGTTCCTATTTCCATCGATGCCAGATTGGTGGTGCAGTGGTTTACAAGAGATTTGGAAAAGCGTAGATCAGTTCCGTATGCCCATGTGTGTGTCACATAGCCCCTCATTCATGTGCTAAATTGAGATAGCCACGTCTGCAGTGGAATGGAGAAGAGATGTAGGAGTGCATGGCCCTCAAGCCCCACTGCAACAGATGGGATAGAAATGGAGCATGGACAGTCAGTCCCTCATTTCAGTCCTAGAAGATCGCATGGTGGCAGATGTGACTGTCAGAGTGACCCTGATAATTCTACATTTGGGAGTAAGGAATTCAGTTTATGGTGGAGTTTAGTGCTTTCTGAGGATGTTGGTTGTGGCTCCAGTGAAGATAACGCTGCTGAGAATGCAACTGAGGCAATAGCGCTCAAGCGAGATTTACGTTACAGTTGTGCAGTTTGCCATGTGGGTACCCACGTGTGGATGTGTGAGCATAATAGATGAAAAAACGGTGACGTTTTCTTTGATCGCCGTAATCAAAGTCATTGAGCATCATGGACTTAAAATATAAAATCTAAAAGATGTACTGGAGTTCTCTGTGTATTTTTAGGCTGGAAAAAAAAGAAGAATCCCTTCACTTGTAAGCTACAGGATATAGTTATTTACATGTATAAAATATGGAATATAATGCTACATAACAACAGGATGCCCAAAGATTTTGTTCTGGGTGTTTCCCCTGGGTAGCTCAGTGATCTGCGGGTAAATGGCATGGACAGCTCATGGGCAGAACACGAGGCAACTCTTAGAAGTTGTCTGAAGGACCAGGGAAAATCGGGTGGTGTGAATCCAGAGCCAGAAGGAGGTGGTCCCCATCGCCTGGTTTGATGCATCAGGAACCAGTGGGCTGGCTGGAAATGAGCTCTTTCTCTGCAGCCCCCCATGCAGAGCTCTCAGATCCTGCCAGCGGAGTTGTAGGGCTTTTGTTGTACAGCTGCACATCCCACATCTGCTCAGAGGCCGTTTAGAGAAGCGTAGACTTCTCGATCAGGAAAACTTTCCTGGCATCTATCATCTCCTAGAAAAGCTTTGATGTGTGCAAGAATTTATTCTCCATTTAACAGAAGTGAAGGCGCTGAGACAGTCAATCACATGCGAAAACTTTGTCAGGTACTAAGTGTCAGATGGAGAAATGGTGAAAATAATGGCATTTCAGGTGTCATTAATCTAAGGCATAATGGCATCTTTAACAGCTAAATGAACGCTGCAGCTGAGGTGATTCAGGTGTCTTTGCATATAATCACGCTTTCAAATAAATTGCAAAGTTCAATCCGGTGTGTATTCATTTTGGGATGTCCCAGAAGTGTGTAAACTACAGTTACTTCTTATTTACAAACTGTAAGATTTATTTAGTAGGAACTCTTCAAATGGGAATAGGCTGGGCTTGAGTTATGAATTGCTAAACCCATCCATCTATCACATTGCTACACAAAAATCACTCTTTAAATGCATGGAGGAAGTATTCCACCATTGCAAAAGCGTTAAACGCCTCTCTTTTGACACAGCAAGAAACCAGCGAGGAAATACATGTAAAGCATTAGGCAGTATTAAGATTTTACAGAGTATGCCATCCAAATGAAAACCCATAATCAAAATAATAATCATCAGGGGAACGCACTTGCTTTCAAAGTGATCATGCAAAGTAGAGCACAGAATATGTCCTAAGTAATAAAAAATGGTGATTTCTGTTCAAGAGGTAAAAGGAAAGTCTGGCACTTGAGGATGTGAGTGCTTTGTACATGATCAGGTCGAGATGGATTTTCTCAGAAATGGACCTTCGTGTATTGTGCATTAAAAAAAGGGGGAAAATTGAAGCTGTTATGTGATGAATGCATCCGAAGGGGTGAGGAAGCTGGGGCTGGGTTCCTGAAGCCAGGAAGATGCCTGTCTTTCTCTTCATTTTAAAATTATTACAGCGTAGGGTTAGGTTGAAGTCATACTCTGTGAAATACCAAGACTTTCTACACTGTGGAAAGATATTTAGAAAGGTCCAGAAAAGTCGATGTATATTTTCTGATGCAAATAATTTGTACTTTTTAAAAAATAATTTAACTGGAGGATAGTCCAGCAAATTTCTTGCATGTATTCTTTTGATTTCTGATGTACTTAAAGAACTTGAATGCAAGAGGAAGAGTTTCATCGTATCTTTTAGTGTTTGTTATTCGAGTTATCTTATGCCTCCTGACTTCATAGTGTATTTTACTTGCTGTAGCTTTGTTCTTTCTATTTGGTCTCAGCTGCATGGGTTTTTAATTTCCAAAACGTGCCTCTAACTTGAGACTAATCTTGTCATTTTGCTATTTAATTGTGTTAACTTTGTAATGGTCTCCATGCAGCATATATGAACTTCAGTTACACACTTTCACTGCTAAGGATTTATGTGATTTTGATGGTGAACATATACAATAAACCTTGCTTTTCTTTTTGGCTGCTCTAATTTTGGGCTCTTTGGTCTTCATGAGCTGCACTGGCCTTAACTTTGGTTGGTTGGGATCAAATCCATCTTGCAGTGGGGTCAAATCGTACTTGCAAAACCCTAAAAAACATGTAATGGAATAAGTCTATTTTGCTTTCATCAGATGCAATATCCTGGGTTTTATCCCTCCGCATAGCGTTCCTGGTAACAGCAGCTGACCCATTTTGAATAATTCCAGTTTCTATGCTCTGAAAAAGTTGTAGATTGGCAAAAGCCTTGTGTTATAGCTGCATATAAATAGCTGTATTTTCCAGTGGCTAATATGATTCACTTCATTTGCCTTCTTCAGCGAAAGTAATAGCTCTCCCCTTTCCCTGTTTTCCTCTTTTCAGAAGTAACAGTTTATTCAATGAGGTCGTGCAGATGAACTTTGAAATAGCCAGTTTCAGCAGCCTTTCTGGAACGCAGCCCATCACCTGGCAGGTGGAATACCCTCGGAAGGGGACAACAGACATAACCTTGTCTGAAATCTTCATCTGCCAGAAGGATCTTGTTGGGATTGTGCCACTGGCCATGGTAAGACACCGTTTCAGCATGCTGCTCCATCCAAACTGTATGTGCTCTGAGAAAACGTGCGCCAGGCTTCAGGGAGAACTACAAAGGAGTGCCCCAGCTCCTATTTTATTGCTGCATAGGGCTACTTGCTAAAATCCTACCTGCATTTAATGGTCTGTACACATCACACGATTTCAGTTCTTGTGAACTTAGCACAGAGGGAAGGGATGCTGCCACTTTAAAAGTTGTTCTCAGACTTTAAATCCTGAATTTCTGTCATGCAGGGTTCCCTGCAGGCTGCCAGCTGGTACCACAAAGCCAAGTAGTTTTGCCTTCCCATTCCTAATTGCCATTACATGGCTTGAATTTGCAAGCTGTAGAGCACCTTTAGAGGCCCTCGAGCGCCTTCTGCTAAAGACAGAGTTGTGGGTCCTTAGGCAGAGGCTGATTCTAATTTCACTGGCTGTTTCCCTAATAGTGTAAGTACCTGTGGTTTCAAGGAAGAAACAGAAAATAACAATAACCTAAATAGTATGTTTTTTAAAAATTAAGCATAGACTTTCATGTGGAAAAATGCCGTGAGTTAAAATCTACTTGCTCTGCTTGGTGTTGTAGCACCAGTTGTGGGCTGCCTACCTCCCTGTGAAATCATACCCATTACCCATCTTTACAAGGCTCCCAAATGTGGTTTATGGAAGCAGTGTCTCCTCCTCTTCCTCTGGCCCAGTGAAGATGCAGTTATTTCTGAAAGTGATGCTGAGAGACTGGGAACACTGAGACTCAGCAGTCAGGGCCTCCTCCTGTGAGCGAACAGCCTGAGGTTAAACCCTGCTCCAAGTCAAGAAAACAAGAAATTTCACCAGGGTCTCCAGCATCTCAGGTGCATTTTATTTGCTGTGAGATTTAGATACATGCTGAGAACCTTTTCCATGCTTACAGATAGAGTAGGCACTGAGCATTTATTTGGAAGTCCTGCCTGAACCTCAAGAAAGGGAGAAGCACAAAGCTGCCCGCTAGCTAGAACAGGACTAAGTGACAATTCAGTAGAGGAACTGCTCACGTTACTGTTAGTCAACGTTAGAGCTCAGGGTCTGGAAGAAGGGGAATTTGGAAGCAGATTCACAAAATCCACTTGGGAATTTTACCTCTCTTGTGCATAGGTGGTGAGATTCTGGCAGTCTTGTTTTTGAGCAGCGTTGAGTGGTTTGCTCAGATAATTGAGATAATCAGATGAGCTTTATTTCCTGGAAGTCCTTGTCTTCAATATATTCTTCCCCTTTGGAGACTAAAACTGCTGCTCATCTCAGATGAGGTCATGCCCAGCAATTTCCTGATCTGAATCTGTTAAGTCAGGAGAAAGCCAGTGCTAGGTTCCAGATCTGAGAGGGAAATAATTGTCCTCATTACCTGGAGTTGAACAGGGGATGCATATTTGAGCTTCTGTTCTCTGATGGCTTGAGAACGTGCGTAAGGAAGGCTTTTCTGGTCAGATTTTGTTTTGAGATAGATGCCTTCCATGGTATCAAATAATAGGCATCTCAATACTGGCAAAATGAACATCTTGGTCGTTTTTTGAAAGAGTTTATCAGCTGCTTCTCTATCCCATATTTGAGGGAATCAAGATATTTTTTGTATCTCATATCAGAGTCTAATACCTTTGCACTTGTTTAAAAGGTTTGAGATTTACTTGCAGACTTGTGTCTATTCTAGCTTAAAATCCATCCATTTGCAAGGGGTCCTTTAAGAACTGGAGGTCTAAATTAATGAGTTTAGTGGTATATAAATCATATGAGGTAAGATCCTTTATTCCCAACAGATGGACCATTAGGCACTCTGGGTTGTGCAAACCTTTCTCTTCACAAAGCTCTCTGGTGTTTGTTTATCTCATTTCTGTGCCTTGTGATAACACTTGGCTGGAGCCAAAATACACTGTGCTAACAGAATCCAGTCGGCTGGGATACCAGTGCAAAACTGGCTTTGCTGGCAGGATATTAGTAGATAAAAGGAATTTTCAGCAGCTAACATTGCGTATCCAGCCAGGGCGTTTTCTTCATTTAGGCATTAATCTGTGGCTGAGCTGATTACCTGGCAGGTCTCCTGTTCAGAAATAGGAGTCACGCTGAAAAGAGAGAGGGTGGTGCTGTATGTGCTGAGAAATCAGACCACACTCTTCATCTCTGCACACTGTAGAGCAACATCACATCATTGTGCACAGAAACTGGGTCTCAATATTTATCAGCAATTGTGTTTCCTAATCGTTTAGAGGCTAAAGTAGATTCTGTTGATTGAAGCGTGGAGCGTTCCTCCAGCAAAACTGTTAACATCACAAGTAAAATCTGTCATTCAGGAGTGCTAAACGTGGCCAAAAAAGGGAAAGAAGGCGCTGCCCAAAGATATTGTACTGAATTAGGATGTAGGATCTGATGGGCATCCTAGTCAGTCTTTAGGGGATGAAAGCAGCAAAGTTTTGCTTGGTTTGAGTGTGATGCAAAGGTTGTATCTGACTCACAGAGTAAAACATGCCTCATGTGAGCCATTCCAAACTTATGAAGCAAGAAGGATCATGTATCTTTTATTGCCCTATGCCCAATTGCGTTACAAAGCAGTAGCAAGATGAAAAACAAGTGGGCCTTTGAAAAGGTTAGTGCAATTGTTGCTACGGTATCTTGGAATGAAAGAGGTTGAAGAATTGACATTGTCAGTAAGAACTGAACCTGAAATTTTAAAAGAGCCTTAAAGGGCTTGGATCAGTGGAGCAAGTGGTAAGATCCAGTTTCTGGAGAATCAATGGGAATTCATCACAGAGTCAAAAGAGAGGGGTTTATTAATATATAATAATATATATTAATATATCATCATAATAATCCATATTCTGTGTGCCTAGCTACTGGCCTAAATAGTGTGAACAGGTAAGAAACAACACCCCAATGATGCTGCTACAGTGGACACTATGGTGAAATAAAAGGAGGCAGAGTGATCCTACTACTGGGCTGAGAATAGGTTTTTTCCCAGAAAAAATGAGATGTAAATTTGAGGGAAGTACATTTTTTTCCTGAGCTCGGAAGTTAATCAGTCTGAGTAATTTTGGAGGACATTTCACCCTTCAAGGTATTTAGAGAGAAAAATGAGACGTAAAAGTTAGGAAAATGTAATTCTAACGAGTCCTGTTGCTGTCAGAAGATATATCCCACTGTCTGATGACAGGCGAGATCTGCCCCAAAGATCGAATCTTCCCGTAGAGAAAACCCACTCTCTGAGTTGTGCCCTGTTCTGCTATTTCTGATTTCATGTTACTTGTTCCAGAATCAATTAGTAAAGTGCTTTCATAGGAGTTTAATTAATTACCTGCTAAGCTGCTTTTGAAAACCTCCTCAATTAATCACAGGTAACCTCAGAACTTGCCAATTAAGGTGTACAAGGTTGCTTAACTTATTTCCCACATTTCCCTCAGATTTCTATCCTGTCATGAGCAAATGCAGCCAACTCTATTGATTTTACCACTTGCCTGGAATAAAAACCCAATATTGTTCACATCTATAGCACCTCCATACACACAAACCCCACTGAAGAAGCCTGTGTGTTTGTGTTTAACGTGGGACCACGTTTTAGGAAATTTAGCAAGATTTCTTTTCCTGCCTTGAGCTGATAATATGTATTTTTAATACCATTAAATTTTGCTTTGGGCTACGTAGAAGACCTGTGTATAAGGTCACTGATGCACATCAGCATTAGACAAGAACTCCTTCCTGGGAGCTACATGGCCAAATCAATGGTTTCATGTCTTTGCAAGACCATCTGGACACTGAAGTAGTCCCTCAATAGCAGGATAAACTCCCTTAGAATTAATTCATCTCTACTGTGACTTGCATCAAACCCAGATATTTAAAGTGCTGGAGCATAAACCCAATGTCAGGAGTCTAATGTGAGAGTTCTAGTCTGAAATTACTCCAAAAGACATTTGTCACCATGGGAAGCCATCTAACTTGCTCGTCCATGCACATTTCCTCTTTAAAATAACACTGGTACTGAATTTTCAGTGGGTCTTTCAGGCGTCTTTCTTCAGGCTCTATAATCCATGAATAACTGCTGACAAGCAAATTGAAGTTGAACTCGAAGGTCGTCGCTGCAGTTTCACACCTCATGTGCTCAGAAGTTTGTCTCTTCTCCCCAGCTGTATCAGCGGGTCTAATAAAAGGTATAATCTGTCTCTACACATCCTGCCTTTCTACTGGTGTAAACTGCATCTTTTCCTTGTGTAACAGCATCCTGTGAGCTGCTTGTTAATCCAAGCTCAGAGTTTTAATGTAGGGTGCCCTGGCAAACCCAGCAGTGATGTGTAGCTGAGGTTCTCCTTGGCTTCTTGTTAGGCAGTACAGCTCCAAACCTGCCCTTTGCTCAGTGGTAAGTGGTTTAATTAGGAAGGGAGTGGTTTGTGTGTACTTCTCTTTACAATCAGAATTTGATGCATTGGCAGTTCTGATGCAGAAGTGAATGGACATCTAAGATGCAGAGCTGTGACTCAGCCAAAATAGTTTTTTGACATTTTTATATGTGCTTTCCATTAACTTGCTTTCCATTAAAACACAGATGATTGAAAAGTTAGCTCCCATAGCAATGTTTGTTTCATATACACATTTATGTGTGCCATTCCTTAAAGTAAAGATTTTTTAAGGTATTTCATTGTAATCACGTCCCTGTAATACCACTTTCCAATATGGACATAAATAACTGGAGCTTTCATCCCTGCACAGCCTGTGAGTTCACACTGTAAAGTTCTCTCTATTGCAAGGTTGCAGAAGTGCCGAATTCTCCCTCCTGTTAATCTCTGAGTCTTGATGAAGTGGGGGCAACAGGCACTGAGGAGCTTTCCAGAAGATGAAACCTGAGGCCATACAAACACATCCATTTCCTGATTTATCACAAACACATGAACAGATAATCTACATATCAAACTTTTCAACTGATAGGTGTTGTCTCAGGTAATCTAATGATGAATCACATCTAATAGACAACGTGAGCTC